TTTCTTTACTGACATCTTATGCACCGCGTATCATTTCTCCATCAAGCACCTCAATTTTTTCTTAAAAAAATAATTCTTCTGTGGCTTTGCAGGAGCTAGAAAAGTCGAAACCTGTTGTTTTGACCGGTGATCTAAATTGTGCCCATGAGGAGATAGATATTTATAATCCTGCTGTAAGTATTTTTTTTGTCACATCCAATCATGTAAATGATCCAGTATGCTTATGTGAATGATACATTGTGCTAAGTGACTCTTGATATATAGTTGTAAGAGAAGATACAAAACAGCATCAATGATGGCCCCTAAGAGACAAAATAAAAGCTACAACGAAGCAAGCATTAGAATTTAGAGCAGATTGAAACGATACTACTCCCTCCTTTCAATTTGTTTGTTTGGTTTTCACTTGACATGTAGTTCAAGAAAATCAAGAATACTTTTGAATCTTGCGGTCTTAAACTAAAAATTTGTGGAATGTATCAAAATGTCCTTTAACCTTGTGGTCATAAACATGCTATGAGGGAAGTTAGAATTAAAGAGTTGTTAAAAAGGGGAAAAAGGTCAATTTTTTTTATAAAAAAAAACAGAGTAAAAAGGAAAGTAAGACAAACAAATTGAAACAGAGGGAGTACAATTTAAATTACTACATGTTTAAGGTGATTATGTTAGCATCTATCTTTAAGGATAACATTGGAATCAACATAAACGAAATCCTATCCAATTACAGTATACAGGTCAAGATATACTTTGAAATCTAATAGGTGTGGGAAGTGCTCCAAATATCATCTGGAGGGAAAAGAATTGTTTACTTTAACTAGCATATAGAAGTCATCCACCACAAATAGAGATACATTGCTTTTCTGAAAAGAAAAAAATCAAAACTTGGCAACTGTTTGCACCTAGTGCCATGGGAACTTGTTCGGTCCTCCCATCATTTACTGAAATAGTTATTCATTGGTTAAAGTACAATTGAGTATTGGAAATTATCATTCTAACACAATGATTTGACTTTGCAACCTAGGATTTCTGTTTGCTTGTGGATTTAAGCAATTGTCTTCAGTTGTTAGCTTAGCTTACTGAAGTTGCATTTTAGTTTTGATATCATACTGATTCATGGTTTCTGATTTTTTCCCCTACATTAGGGAAATAAAAGAAGTGCAGGCTTTACTGAAGAAGAAAGACAGTCTTTCGAAACGAACTTTCTAAACAAGGGGTTTGTAGATACATTCAGGAAGCAGCATCCCGGTGTCGTTGGTTATACTTACTGGGGTTACCGCCATGGTGGACGTAAAACTAATAAAGGTATTTAAAAATTTATTCTATTATGGTGCTTTTTACTTGTCCTCTGTGGACCTTGAGCTGTTCTTATTATGACAAACTAAGAAAACCAGAAACATGCCTCAGTTTGTGCTTCTTCATGTACTCTTCTCCATAGCCCTACAAGTAGATATTTTCGTGTGTTTTACTGTCTAGTGAAATAACAACATTGCCCATTTGACAGTAGTCATTGTGGAAGTACAACTTTTGAGTTTAAACTCTGGTACTTGCTTGTGGATTAGAGTCCCATATTGGTTGGGGAATGGACTAGTGATTTGACAATGCAGCCTAGGGTTCAGGTTGTTAACTTGAATTAACTATCTTGGCGAATGCACTCCTAAAGCTTCACGCCAAAACATTTAGCAACTTATAATCTGTACCAGATTGTCAACTATCTTGAGCTGACGGGGTCCTAGAGCCTTACGCCAGACTTTTAGCAACCTAGACATTTACACCAGGTTGTTAATTTAACTTTCTTGATGCTGATGGAATCCTAGAGCTTTACGTGAGACTTTCCGCAACCTAGATGCTTGCACCAGTTACGTCAATCTGCTACTTAGATAAAGGCTTGACTACCTATCGCCATGTAGTTATGTTTTCTCTTTTCACATATTAACCTATTTAACTACTCGTCCAACCTCTTATTTTTCTAATCTCTAGTCACCTATCGTATTTGTTACTTCTTCTCCTTCACAAGATAATTCCAACCTCACATTCTTTGTCCAATTACATTTGCTATTTTAAGGATAGTTTTTCAGATTGTTTGTGATAGGACTTACCCTATATTCTTTTTCCCGTCTGGGATATAAATTGGCAGGATGGCGGCTTGACTACTTCCTTGTCTCGGAATGCATTGCTGACAAGGTGCACGACTCGTACATTCTCCCAGATGTAGATGGCAGTGATCACAGTCCCATTGGCCTTATCCTGAAGCTGTAGTAGGTTCCAAGTACCAGCCATCGTTTTTGCTAATTCCAACATCTTTGATCGTCTTCTCGAAGAAGATGGAACCATAACAAGAAAACTCGACAGAGATTTTATGCAAGAAGCTAACATGGAGTACATATTTGGCTCATAAGGCTTTTTGACATGTAAATGGTGAATCCTGATTTTTGTGAAGTGGCATACAGGATTCTCATATGTTCAGCTATTTTTGATGCCTTGTTGATTCACAGAGGAAGCAAATGTGAGTATCATAATACTCCTGTTGCAACTTATGTTTTTTGTTTAACCTTCCAGCGTTTGGAACTTACTAACCTAACTAATTTGGATTCACATCGTAGAAAGTCTACTGTGGTGATGTTAGTGCTCTCCGTATTTTTGCCCGAATACACTGGTTGGCTAGTTCTAATTTCATCACGTGCTCATAGTTTATTGATCCAATTAATTTGAATTTGCGTCGTGAAAATCCTACTATATGATTGTTTAAGTGCTTCTTACTTTGCTCAGCGTTTATACACTGTGGTTTCCATCTTGTAATTGTAATCTATGATTTGATTAATTTGAATTCATAGAAAGTCGGATTTTAGTGGCCCTATTTTTTTATGTGCATGCAGCTTTAGAGCAACCTTGTGAACGTAAATAGATTGTTTTAGATTTTTAGCTCGAGTAAGCTTATTAAAAATTGTGTAAAGCAAATGTATTAGCAAAAAAATCATGTTGGAAACAATTGCATATGAGAACAAGTAGCAACAACAAATAACACAAATAGGTACCACTGAAATTGAAGGAAAAAAACAGTAAGAGTTTGTTTGGTTGGGAAATAATTATACTAGGATTGTTATTCCACCTTTAATGTGCGAACAAATAATACTATTCTGGGATAAGTTATTGTTATTTCGTAATTTTATCTCAACTAAATATGGGATAAACTCATCCTAATATTAAACTTGGGATTAGAAATAATATTGTTAAAGGAGCTAAGCAATACTCGACTATAGGGGTGTTCATGGTTTGGATAAAAACCGAAAAACCAAACCAAACCGATTAAATGAATCGATTTAATTTGGGTTTTGGTTTGGTTTGGTTTTAGATTGTTAAGAACCGATAATATTTGGTTTGGTTATGGTTTTGTTCAAAAAAAATCGAAGAAATAACCGAACGAACCAACAAGTTATATAAATAAATTTTATTATTATATGGTTTGGTTTTAGATTGTTAAGAACCGATAGTCATTAGTTTGGTTATGGTTTTGTTCAGAAAAAATTGAAAAAATAACTGAACCGAACCAACAAGTTATATACATAAATTTTATTATTATACATACATAATATATTATATTCATAAACAATTTTAAAGATTTTATATATGTTTCATCAAAATTTACAGGTGAGAACATTTTTCTTATTGGTTTCATGTATATGAGTGTCTATGGAAATTCTTTGTGGGATTGAAAATGTCATTATCTCTTCCTTCTATGCCAAAATAGTGAATTTTGAAGTTTTATTCAGTAAATTCAATGATCGAAAATTCTATAATGCCAGTCATTCTAACTTTTTTTTTTGTTTGAATGGATTGTTGTCAATAATGCCAGTCATTCTAACTATTTTTTTTGTTTGAATGGATTGTTGTCACTTTTTTCACGTTTTGAATGAATTGTTTCTTTTATTTTTATGTATGGTTAATAACAGAATAACCGAACTAAACCAAACCAAAATCGAAAACAACCAAACCGATAAATGTATATTATATTTGGTTTGGTTTGATAATTTTGAAACCGATTAAGTTGGTTTGATTTTGGTTTTGATCAATAACCGACCCAAACCAAATCGTGAACACCCCTACTCGACTATCTACTAACCTTCTACTTTTATCTTCAATCTTAATATATCCATATCTAGGTCTTGTTCTCGATATGCTATTACTGTAATCAAATTCTTACACCTTGTCCAGGGGCGAAGCTACAACCATCCAAGTGTTCAGTCAAACAGCCTTCGCTGGGAAATTACACCACATATATGGGTCAAATTATGGGCTGAATATATATATACTGTTGAACACCTTTGACACAAGTTTTTTCTTTAGTGCAATTGTTAAGGGATGGTTAGTTTCAACCCAATCCCAATTTCAACCCAACAGTTAGCGGTTTCAAACTTTGTTGAGCCATTTTTTGTTTTTAAATATATTGTAACAACTTTAAATTCAAAGCTAAAATCGATAGATGCATTCTATCCTCTTTTTTTTAAAAAATAAAATATTTAATGGTGTGATTTGTGTTTCGTACAAAGCTAGATGCATGTATTTATCAGTATTGCACTTTATACACAATAATTATTTTTTATTGTATATATAATCAATGCATCAGAAGAGAAAAAACTCAACTATTTATATTTGATAGCAACAAATATTGGAATCATTCCTGGTACAATCGATAAGTCAAACAAATACACATTTAACTCGCTAATCAAAAAATTATTCTTAAATACCCTTGATAAAATCTCTCGTCTCCGCCACTAACATTGTCACTAGAACATCCGTGCATTAAAAAAGAAAAAAGAAAGTACAAAAAAAATAAAGCTTGATCTCCCTTTTTGAAGCAACAATGGACCCCACATATGACAAATTCATCTGACGTGTCCAAATTCTATTGGATATCAAGTGTATTATAGACCAGAAAATAATTAATTAAGTGAATAATAACAAAATATAAATAAATAAAAAATTCAGACCCAAAATGACAAGAGTCTCCCACAAGTGACACACAGTGAGAAAGAGAGATCGAAACAATGGCAGCTAAAAAACGACCGTCAACGGCGGCGCCGGCGACCGTGAATCAACCGGAATCATCCATAAACACGGAAAAGCCTAAATCCGGTGACTCCTCACCGGAACCTCCTATAGCGCCGGCGAAAGTTTACTTAATTTTCAAAATCTCTTTGATATTCTTAATCCCATACTTCTACTTGATATTTTACCACTACAAAATCGAATCGGAGCTCCGACGATCGATTCTCATCAATGCAATTGTTAGCTTGATAGGATTCTTCGTCACTGTTACTATGATTCCTGTTGCCTCTAAGTACGTATTGAGAAGGAATTTATTTGGATATGATATCAACAAAAAAGGCACTCCTCAAGGCTCTGTCAAAGTGTAAGTTTTTTTATTTGTTTTTGCTTAGAAAGAAGAAATTGAAGTTTAATTTACTTGAAGCTAGTGGAATTCAGTACTGATTCGAATTTATTATGCCTTACTTTTTTATTTTGATAGTTTTAGTTTGAATTGGTTTGCTTAAAAGTTAAAAAATGTGAAATTTCTATTTTAGAAGCTTTTCATTTATGCATATCTTTTAGATCATTACCACAAGAGCCATGGTTGATTTCTTGAGCTCATCACACAATATGTAATGTGGCTACAGTGTTTCAATTTGGTTGTCCAGTTTGGACGAGGCACGGAGTTTAAGAAAGTAAAAAACTTTTGAATCTCATGGTCTTCAACTAAATGTACCAAAATATTCTTTAATCTTGTGGTCTTAGAAATGTTACATGGAAAGTTGGAATAAAAAAGTTATCAGGAAAGTATAGAGATATTTTTTTTTAAATGGACTAAAAGGGAAAGTAAGACAAACAAATTGAAACGGAGAGAGTACCAGCTTACAGCTAATGCTGGGAATTCGTAAAAAAAATTCTCTTTACTGATAAAAAAGAATCAGCATAGATCATTATGGAACGGCCCAAAATGACGGTAGGACATCTTTGCTGGGACAAAGTGAGTAATTTGATGGACTCAGTTAAGAGATTCAATAGTTAACAACCAAGTTCAACTAAGTTATTCAGTGTATGACTAAGCAATGTATGAGTGATCCATGTTGTTTTTTCGCAGACCTGAGTCACTAGGCATTATTGTTGGGGCAGTGTTCTTGGTCGTGGCAATCTTGTTTCAATATTTCAACTTCACAGCTGATTCAAATGTAAGTAAAGATGCAAGCTGTGTGGTTTAATTTGGAGTTTTTTTGTTCATTGATGATCTACTTAACGTCTTGATAACTGCTTATATTGATTTACTTTTTCTGGCATTATTTTGTGTGCTCCTTTCTTGCTTGCCAGTCGTGAGAACTTCTAACTAGTATTAGTATGATAAAACATAAGAGAATTTTTTTTCTCCATTTAAAGGTGAGAAAAAACAGTGCCAAAGATTGATCCCTACTGACATTGAGCTTATAAGCACGCGTTTGGCTATATTCTTTTAACTTCTTCAAAGGATTATAATTAAAATAGTCCATGATTCATCAGTCCCAAACGAGTTGTGAAGGACTATATGAATCCTCACTAATCATTATCTTTATTGATTTAAAAGAATTGTGGCTGTAAGGTTAAAGAGAATAAACATATCCAGTATTCACTAGTTGTAGTGTTCCAAGTTGCTGGTTTATTGCTTTTTGGGGGGAAATACTACTAATTGACAATCCACAAGTGGTTGTGCATTGCAGTAAATTGGGCAGCTGGGTTAATTATCATGCATCCTTACACACGTATCCAAATCCATTTATTTCCCATTGACTTTTTTGCTGCCTGTGATGGTGTCAATTGACATCTTACAACTGACTTCTATAGAAAATTTTGAATAATCAAAGAGAATGTAACTAACCAAATCACTTTTTGCAAGTTTTATCTGGAAAAAAAACACTCTTTTGACTTTGCAAATATATAATTATTTACAGAACAAGAAGAAAAACTCTGATGTGCATCCAATGTGCTTGTGCACGAAGCACATGCCTTCTTCCTTCTAAGTGAACTAAAGCATGATCTGGTTGTGTCAAAAGAATAGGCCCAAAAAGCATAATATGTAACGAACGCATGGAATTTTCAAAATAGGAGGACAGGGTTGTGACTGAAAACGAGAAGACAATCACAACAATTTGGTATATATTAAAGGATCACTCTAATAATGGGTTCGATACTAACTCTAAATGTCAAAATTAATTTCATAAAGCAAAAGGTAGTCTGCAACAAAAAGCAGAACAGTGATGTCAAAGGCATAGAAAAATGCAGGGCAGGATAAAACAGTGCAGATAGGTAGAGATTAAGCAGACTAGATGGGGAGAGAAGTAGTGAGAAAGAGGGGTGTGTGGATAACCTCAAAATATTGTGTATATGCTTGTTCATATGTGATTTGTGTAATAGTCACATTAAAATTGTTGCTCGAAATAATAGTACTTAGCTGCACCTTCTTTTTTCCTTGTCAAAAAATTGTTGTTCTAGCTGTTGACTTTGAACTTGGCAGTGGCTTGTTGAGTACAATGCTGCATTATCTTCAATCTGCTTCATGATGCTACTTGGGTTTGTGGATGACGTCCTTGATGTACCTTGGAGAGTGTAAGCATTTCTTTCATATCTAAAGGCTATCTCTGATGCAACTGGTGGGAACCTTTTGAAATCTTTTCAGCTTAGATTCTTATGAAGTTCATGTAATTTTTTGAAACAGGAAACTGCTATTACCCTCCATTGCAGCTCTTCCATTGTTGATGGCATATGCTGGGCATACAACTATTATTATACCGAAACCCCTTGTATCATATGTTGGATTAGAGATCTTGGATCTAGGTAAGCATCCTATGATTTCTTTGTGCTTCTATAGAAAGTCCTTAAGTTGGAGTTATTCATATTTGATGAAGTACTCAAAGTTTAAAATGCACATTTAACATGCTTAAAGTTGTCTCTTGTATGGATGTAATTCTTTACCATTTCATACATGAATTCTTTCCATATGTTGTCTTCAGCTCGGTTCTTCATTCTCTCTGGTTTTACAGGATGTATCTACAAATTATATATGTGGCTATTGGCAATATTTTGCACAAATTCAATCAATATCCACGCTGGTATCAATGGCCTTGAAGTTGGGCAGACAGTCGTTATCGCAGCTGCTGTAAGCTTTAACCGTTCTCTAGTTATCACTTGGACGATTGAATGCCATCTAACTCTATAGTAATTACAGATTTTGATACACAACATCATGCAAATTGGAGCATCTGCTGATCCTGAATACAAACTAGCCCATGCTTTTTCTATTTACCTTGTTCAGCCAATGCTTGCTACTTCCTTGGCTTTACTATCATACAACTGGTAAAATTTAATCTTGAAACAACCTCAAAGTTCTCCTTCAGCATACGTTTTATTTAATACACTCGCCACTGTTATTGTAGGTATCCTTCCTCAGTTTTCGTTGGTGATACCTTTACATATTTTGCTGGAATGACCATGGCAGTGGCTGGAATCTTGGGTCACTTTAGGTACATCTTTCTGCTTGTTTCTAGCAATTCAGTTCAGTAGTGCTTCTGCTAGTCTCTTTCTTGAACCATTTGATTGCATCTTTGATCCTTTAGAAAAAAGGTCAGCCCATTTTCCTTTGTCGGTTTGACTTTGTGACATAGTGATTTCCAGGCGAGAATGGAGCACCCTCGTTGGCTCATGACTATGAATCCCATGTTTTTCCAATAAGTGACTGGGATATTTGTATTATCAGGAAAAGAAAAGTGACTATAGTATTGTGTGAACAACAGAGTATTGTCTTTATCAGGAAAAACGTGACTAGTCTATCGTCCTTGAAAAGTGGAACCAAGGGAATGACATCCTCAGACAATTTGAATATTATTTTATTAAAAACAAAAGAGTTCATTCTCAAAAAAAGTGGCACCAACACGATCCCAAATCTGTTCACGAAGGGCTTAACAAACAAGCCCATATCAGGGGAAAACTACCCATATCTGAAAAAGAAAAAAATGTGAAGGGTTTTTTAACTCGCTAATTCATGAAGTTCTCAAGAATCAGTCTCTCAAAGAGTTGAATCACATTACTTCTCCTATAAAATGCTTGTAATTTATTCCTTTCCAGATCCAAAAAAAAGAAAGTAGACTTGGCTGCGTTTAGGATCTCATTGATATTAGTGAAAAGAAACTGTGAAGACTAGTTTTGGCTGAGTTGGGGATCTCATTGATGTATTAAATTGTTAATTGAAGTGAAATCTTCAAACTTGTGTAGATCATAGAATGGTATCATAGTTGAAATATATGAAACGTATTAAGATGTACCAAAACAGTTCAAGTGTCACATAAACTGTCAGATCGAGTATCACCATTGTATGTAATGTATAAATGATCTTTAGTGTCTGTACTTATGAAGATATTTGTTCAAGTTTCTTCATCTGAAACTTAAGACTAATGCGCCTAGTTTTGTCTATTTCCTTTCAGTGAAACACTGCTTATATTCTTTTTGCCGCAAGTTCTGAACTTCCTACTATCAGTACCTCAGGTTCTCTCTCTCTCTTTGTGCAACCCATCTTGCAAAATAAATGATATATTTTAAACTAATTTTGGATCTCTAAGTACTCTCAACTCCCTTGAATTCCTTTCAGCTTGCTGGTATTGTACCTTGTCCAAGGCATCGGCTCCCTAAGTAAGTTCTCTAATTGAAGCAGCTGAAGTTTTGGAATTCATGTTTGTGTCTGGACTAACTAATCTTGTACCCTTTCAGGTTCGATCCTCAGACTGGCTTATTGACCGGAACAAATGATGGGACGCTAGTGAACCTTTTCTTAAGGCAATTGGGCAGAATGTCAGAACAGTCCCTTTGTGTCGTGCTACTAGTCTTCCAGGTAAATAACTTGTTCTTTCTTTCTCTTCTTTACATTTTTTTCTCATCTATAAACCAACAGGGGTGTTCAGTTGCTATCCTGTTCTAGTCTGCAGTCATTGCCTGTTACCTCCATCGATTGTTCTTAAATCACAAAACAGTGATATATTTCTAGTTAGTCAACGTAGTTATGATAACAATAATGCTGATCGTAGCATGCTCAATCATTGAGCTCATGAACTGCTTCGATTGTTTATGTACATGATCTCATCAGATAAGTTCTTATACATGGAAGGATTGTCAAGAGTAACAAATGTATGTCTTACAGGCCCTGTGCTGTGGCTTCTGTTTTCTGCTGAGATGGCTCCTTACGGGTTGGTACAAATGAAGCTGTGATACGAGATCAGCTATTTCAATAGGCGAATTCCATCAGAACATTAACTTAAACCTTCATGAAGAGGTTTTTATTTTATGAAGAAACGACGATACCATATTTTGAAGAAAGTGACAGCCATATACATTCATGCATGATAGTTGAAACTTGTAACCTATACTGATTCCCTAGGAGAATTTTGTTAGAAACTGCATTGGCACATGTTGTACTTAGCTTTCTTTGTACGATTTTGATGTTGGGAGACGCATTTATCTTGGTAATTATGTCTGTAACGATCTTTGCCTAATTGATTATTTACAAACATTCCTTGAAATTGTTTCCGATAGATCCTCACCTCAAGAAAAGCATTTTCGTAAACAGGTTAGACAAATGAAATAGTAAAAGTTTCTCAGAATGTTCTTTAATTTCTCCATCTTGTTGAATCACTCAATACAAGAGTGGTCTCGGAAATGCACTGAAAATCTGCACACCGCAATTGCTTACAATTACATTAGCATATCCATGAACCTTAATCAGAGTTTTGTCAGGGCATTGTGTAAAACAATTGCAGTACAAGAACTGTCTCGTGGTGTTCTAAACCCAACTCACGGATCAGCAAACAACCGAAACCCTTGGGCCCTTCTTGAACAGTAGAGGATGTCACTACTTCATTGGTTGACAAAGGCTTTACAAAATACAAAACGAGCAAAGGGCCTATGTGCTTCAATTTTCTACAGAGATTCGTAACACATAAATCAACATACTCAACTCTTCTTGATGATCTCTGAAAATGCTAAGACTCCTACAAACTTAGCAAGGTGAAAATCTAGTCCATATCCATTTTCTCTTCCTTCTCAATGTTTTTGCTTGACCACAGCTTGATTGTTCGATCATAAGACACGGTTGTAATGAATTGTCCATCTGGCACCAAATAAAAGAGAAATGGACAAATAAATAAGCATTTGTGAAATGTGAAGGAAAGGTTTGAGATTCTAGAAATATCAGCTTCTATTATTATTTTTTGTGCGGAGGGTGGATAGCAGGAATTAAGCCCGTCATGGGAAACATTTTTTTATTAAAATTAAGAGAAGCATGGAAAAATATAACTACAAACAAAATTAGGGGTCCAGCTTAGAATTACTAGGAAGTGAATGATAACTGAAAGGCAGAGAAAACAGCAAGTACTTCACATTCATTCACATGACTGCTCTAATATGAGGCATTCTCAAACTGACACATTTCTTCACATAATTTTCTGGGTCCTGCTTGAAAAAGTCAGAGGGTGGAGGATTTCATGAATGTAGATCTAGAGAAAGTGGCTATGTTCCAAATTATAAGGTATGCTTATCATTATACATTAGTACAATGATAACAGAAGATGACGGACAAGATTTGGTCCAACAACTAAAGCTCAGCTTTTGTGCCAATTACCAAAGGTGTTCTATGACATATGCCACATCATTTACATCTTCACTTATTTCACATTTCTCTGATGGGAAGTAAAAGAAAATCATAAATCCGATCGTTCATCTGTTACCAATGTTCTTGGGTTCTGGAAGTGGGTTAGCTTCTATCCTACCATAAATGGTACCACAAGGCAAGACATCTCAGACTGTGAAAAAAGAACTAACAACAATAGCTACACAAGTCATTCCCAGGTTAATGCATTATTATCTCTGTATAACTTAAGAAAGCATAGGAGACACACAATTATTGTGTTCAGAGGAATCAGGAATGGTGGGCTTACTACCAAAGATGCAAAGCATTTAATAAACTCAAGCCTTATACTTCTTAAATGCCTTCAGGATACTGTTTCACTCCACGAGAAGGTAACAATAGCTTGAAATCAAATGGAACTTACCTGCCGCAACATCCAATGACATGATTTTTGCTTCATGACCAGAGAGTGTCTTTACAGGCTTGAAATCCCTTGATGACCATACCTGAAATATAAGTTTAAGATTTAAAACATAAAAACAAGCAACAAAAAGAGATCCAAGAAGCAGCATAATCATGACAGACTTAAAGTTATACCTTAGCAGTCATATCATAGGAAGCTGTAGCCAAAAAGTATCCCTCCTGAGGCTCAAACTTAACTTGAGAGATAAGATTGGAGTGAGCTGGTATGATGTAAGAAGATCTTCTCTGCCTTAAGTCCCAAATACGACAGGTATTATCTTCACCACCACTAGCCAAATGATAACCATTCGGTGAAAAACTGACACCAAGAACCTGGAACCAATGAATAAAATAAGTAGCAGAATTCATATTTTATGTCTTCCCATAATCCCTAAAGCATATGAGGGGAACGGACACCACAAATCAAAGAAAGACTAACCGGTTTAACGTGGCCTTCTAGAGCAAGAATACTTCGCCCAGTCCTTAAATCCCACACTCGAACAAGTGCATCCAACCCGCATGATGCCACTAATGAACCATCATGGTGAAAAGACAATCCATAAACACTCCTACTGTGACCTTCTTGCAAAAGCAGCTCTTCACCACTCTCCACATTCCATAATCTCCAAGTTTTGTCGAAGCTAGCTGTGCCCAAGTATTTTCCGGAAGGATGAAAAGCAATCCGAGCTAGACGGTCCAAATGTCCCTCAAAAGTTCTGAGGAGAGAACCTTCTGAGTTCCATAACCTTGCGGTCTTGTCAGCAGATGCAGTAGCTAAATAATTGCTTGTCGGAGAGAACGCAACATCAGTAGCTCGTTCAGTGTGACCTTTTAGAGTGGAAACCTTTTGCACTTGAGGCATACTCCATATTTTTGCTATACCACTCAGAGAACTGAATACAGGAGAAAAGGGGGAAAAAGTGTCATGTGTTGCTTGAAGCCTTGAATCCATACTCATAAGTCATAACTGTTAAAAGACACTCTAATAAAGCATGACAATTTTTTGCTTACGAGAATAAAAATCCTACTTCCAGTTCATTTGGTAGGATCTTGAAACAATCGAACATCTAACTGTTAGATTTAATATGGGAATCAACAACTACATCCCAGTCCCAAGCAAGCTGGGGTCAACTATATGAATTCCCACTAACCATGATTTTTCACATGATTTAATAGGGAATCGCTGGCAAAAAAAATAAATTAATGCAGTATATTCCACTCATATGAGTCAGTAGAGGTGAAAAACAGAATTGGGGAACACTAACAGGTTTTTTAGTATATGAATCTACACTGAAACCTGCAGTTATCCAACTAAAAACAATCCATGGATTCTATCCCATCCACCTGTGATGCCCCCGCCCCCCAAAAGAAAAAGAAAGAATGAGGAAAAGAGCACCCTTGAAATAAAAAAAATAAAATGGGAGTGGGATTAGGGTCATGTAAAGCAAGACAGACAGGCTCAGAAGAATACCAGGTCGCAAGCATCTTTCCATCATGTGAAAGCGAGCATCCAAAAAGGGGTCGATCGTCTCCAATTTCACTGCAATCAAGGGCCAGGCTCCCTGCTTGCTTTAAAGCCCAATCAACCTCTGCATCCACATCTTCATCTGGATCATCCCTTTTCCTCCTTGCACGATGGAGACGTAAAGCCGACTTAACTAAAGAATACTTTGCGATTTCTACCCTAGCATCTAAAAGTGCTTTTGATCCTTCTGTGTAAAAAGGGTATTGAATATCCTCCTCCTCTGCTGGTGCAGCAGAAGCTGCAGCTTCTTCATCCTCATGAGCTTTCATCAGCTTTTCCAGCTGCCCTTCTGCATCAAGCCTTGCCATAAGCATCCGCAGTCGATCCCTTCTTTCCATCTCCCTTTCTCCAAAGAGAGTTATTGGCTCGCCAAGCCTTCGCAGTCGAGCTCGAACGGCCATATCATTTGTAGGAACTGCTAGCGCAGCAGCACGTCTCTTCATGAGAAGCTCCTGCAGCGCCTTTTCCTGCCTCTCTCGGACAATTCTACTCTCCTCAGAGATCTCATATTCTTGCGTGGAGCCCGCAGCACCACGACCGGATACCATTTCTTCAAGGTCTGAATCTGAATCACTCTCTTGCATTTCTCCATTCTGAGCTACCGGAGGCCTAAGGACAGGTGGACGAACAGGCAACGGAGCTAATGGGGGAGGAATAGGGGTAGGAACTGCAAGCCTTGGAGCAATTGCAGGCACGACAGGAGGAAGGATAACCATTGGAACAACTGGTGGAATGACAGCTGGAACTGGTTGAAGATTAACTGCACCTATAGCATTAACCACAGTTGAATTATCATCAACTAGAGTTGAAGGTTCTGAAGTTGAGACAGGAACTTCATCCTCAGCATCCATAGCATCCATAGCATCCATATCCTGATCAGAGAGAAGGTCAAGCAGTGAATACAAACAAAAGAAAACAGAACAATTCACTTCAGACATCAATCAGAAATATTCTCAAACCTACTTTCTGACTGAGTAGTTCAAGAATTTATTTTGCTCATATTATCCCCTATTTATACTACTAATTTTCCAGAATATCAAGTTATGCCATTTCTCTTTGAATTATGCAATCCATCCCACAGGCCAAATAACGAATTCCCAACTCATCTCCCTCAAGTTTCAGCCTTGTTTTGTGAGTTTTACCAGATTTCGTTAAACCAATCAGCTAAATGAACACTTATGCATGCTTATTAAAAGGAAAAGTGATGCTCAATGTTCAAATCAACTATAGCAAGCAAATGAAACACAATTGCACCCAAACACAAGTAATCTAAAAACATTTACAAAATTGAATCAGAACTGTAACTTCTTTTTATTATATGTTCACATCCAGTGAAGATGCAATGCTCCTTGACATAGCATTTCTTCTTAGAAATCGAACTGTTCTTTCTTGGACTAATAAATAGCTGTGTGAGTCGCATTAGCTCGAAATAGACAGCAAAAATCGCGGATAGGACATTGAATCAGAGGCGGACCAATTAGTACTTACTATGGATGTTGACAAATAGAGCAAAAGATAGAGACACTTACAGGTCGCCGGAATATGCTAGTCGGGTAGACTTCGCGGTGACGGCGGTGGCGCTCCGGCGGAGGAGCAGCAGGGAGGGTTTATCAACGGGAAGAGAGAGGAGGGGTTAATGGGAAAGAGGATAAAGGGGGAAAATAAGGAGAATATTGTAATTAAAAAAAGTATAAAACAAAAATATGGGTTTCACTTTCACAACTCCGTTT